TTAACTATTTTCCCTTCATTCCCCTCCTACAAAATCCCTCCAAACAAGGTAAAATCATTTTACATCACCTCCCCTCCCCTCCCCTCCCTTCCATTAAAATCCCTCCCCTCCTCAAGAAACATGAATCCGAGGAACAGCAAGAACCGGTATCACATGGACCCCACCTTGCTGACTATTCAAGTGCTGTGTTTATATCTTTTTTTTTTTCATGATTTCCTAAATAACAAAATCATTAGCAGAAACCAGTTCACACAAGCAGAAAATTTGTATAGCTAATGGTGTACTCAGTTTGATAAAGTGGAGAAATAATAGTAACATCAAAAGTTTAATACTCAGAGAAGCTCATCGTGAGAGTTCCATCACAATGCAAATACCATAACATCATTCAACTAAACCATGATCCTCAATACTGATGGTGCAATAGTTTCCACTGGGGATCAAATATTCTACCACAAATATGATATGGTGTGGATCCTCAGAATATTCTGCACTTCATATCTTACGTCTTTAGCTAACACTGGTTCAGAAAAATTCTAGGCCTGTCTATGAAGACTAAGATATGAATATGCTTTTCCATCAATTTATAGACATGTCAGGTCTATTCTCTTTTTTGACGAGATCACAGTAGGTCATGCAGAAAACAAATAGTCACATGGAAAAAAATACCTAAGTTCTAATACAACTTTCGACAAATATCCCAATTTTATGATAATCTAATTCCCAACATAAAATGTTACCCACTCATCCTGCTACAAGATTTTCATGGTTGAAACAGAAGCCAAGTTCTAGTAAAAGGTTGTATTTTAAACTCTGATATGCTGTTTATGTTCATCAACGATCACGGTAACCCGAGTTAATTGGAAAGGATAAATATTCCTTCACATCATTCTTGACTCTCCATCCATAATGTTCACGAACTACATATAAGTAATACATCCAATAGTACTCCTATATATTTGATACATTTCCGGATATCCTGAGATTTCACAAAACAAAAATCCAATCAGCCCACTTATTGAGTTACTACAACCAATAAAAGTGAGAATGCAGAAGCCCGCACAACTATATCCCCACACAAACTCATCACAAATCACGAAAAATCACGAACCCATTGGTTTGCAGCAACTTTCAATGTATATGAATCCTTATTCCCCAGATTTATATACCCATTATACAGGAGATAAAACAGCCGAATTCCAGCAACTGCAAAACTAATGAGTGGATATTGGATAACTAGCATAAAATTCATAGTTACAAACATCTGGTTAATCATCAATCTATTTGACGAAATTAATAAAAACAAATAAAAAATCAGATAAAGTCGGGTACTTGCAATACAAACAAAGGCAGACAATTTTCATAGGAGAGAACAAATCAAATCACAGAAAAACAAAAGGAGAAAAAGACCTTATACAAAAGCAGCAGATCAATGGCCGCCGTGTTCTTTGGCGTGCTGCTGGTGCTCCAGGTGGCGGCGCTCCTCGGGGAGGGCGACGAGGTACGAGAAGATCATCCCTCCGAAACAGATGTGATAGAGAGGAACGACGGAGCTGGTCTCGATGTATTTGGCGTGATAATTGTCGAGCCCACGCTGCACGGAGTTCTTGACGTAATCAACGGTGAACCTGGGCTTGAGATACGCCGGCAGCTCCTTCACCTTCATCCCCTTGATCTCATTGTAGAAGGTCCTCATCGCCATTTCTCAAATGTTCACTCAGACACTCACTCTCTCTAACTCGATCTACAAATGGGAATTAGATCTCGAACCCTAGCTTGATTGCCTGTTGTGGCTTTGTTTTGCTTTTGGCATTTTAAGTCTACTAACAAATAAGCTAGCTTAGCTTATTTGGTTAGCTTATATGCTCTCTGTCTTCGAATAAACTCTTTTTGATAGGAGGAGTTTTTTTAAAAAGTTCGAGCTTATTTGATAAGTTTTTTTGGGTAGCTTTTTTAAATAAGCTCGTTAAAAATTTTATTTCAACTAGCTTATCAGCTAATTTTACCAAACGGTTTTATCATATAAGCTAGCTTTTCAGTTATAAGTCATACTATAAGCTCCAAAATTACTGATAAGTTATAAACTAGTTTATCAGTTATCAGCTAGTTTTACCAAAAATAGCATAAGTTGTCGTGATATATGACTTTTTTTATAAAAAATAAATAAATAACAGATAAAAGGCATAGTTTTTAAACCCGGCCCGAAAATCCACTCGGGCAGGTCTCCGGGTCACCGGTTCAACCACCAGGTCACCGGGTCAATAGCTGAATCGAATAATTAATTTTAAAATTTTTTAAATTATATATATAATATTTTTGATATATAAATATACATAAAAGTAACAAAATAAATATTTTCTATATAGAATTTGTACATCAAAGTGTTATAATAATTATATCTAAAAAAATAAAGACCGGGTCAACCAATGGCCCGGGTCGAACAAGTCAAGGCCGGATTGGTTGGGTTTTGAACGGGTTTTACCGGATTCATTGTTACCCGGTCTAAATAGCCTACCCAGATCGGTTCCTACTCTGGGTCAGCCGGTCTTGGGTCGACCCACCAGGTCGGTCCGGGTCGAAAGACAATGATAAAAGTGGAAATTTTGAATTGATGAGATTAATATTTAATAGTTACAAATATCTAAATACGTAAGGGGATAAACAATAATTTTATTGAATGACATATAATATTTATTTTATTTTAGTTTTAATTATGTAAGTGTGATTTATAGAGAAGAGTGAAATGATAAGAATCATATTTTTTGTGGATACTTTTTTTTTTTTAAGTTTCAAAATAAATTCGAACTGCACAAACAAAATGATTTTTTTAGCCTAAGCTTCAAAAGTAAATTTGTTATGTTTATGCTAACATGATTAATAATTAAATATGTTGAGTGCGATGGATGAAGGAGGTGAAATTAAGGGTAAGTTGCACCAAAACCCCATGTATTTAACAAAATGTGCGCGTTTCCCCACTGTGTATTAAAAAGTGCACCAGACCCCCCCCCCTCCCCCTTGTGTTTAAGTAACTGATGCACGATTCCCCCATTCCGTCCAAATTAACCGCGCGTGTATGACACCTTCTATAACTGCGAGATTTGTTCAATTTTTTTATTTTACATAATTAATAATTTACTTTTTTACCCTCTTGAATGATATTGCAAAATCTAAAATTGTTTAAAATGTGGGAAGTAGGATTCAATTCTAAGTTGCAAAGGGAAAGCATGCCCACCCAATCATTGGGCTATATAGATGGATGTGTAACGTATTGAACATAAATATATTTATGAGCAGTTTACCAATAAAAAAAAATAAAAAAACATGTGGACAAAAAAAAAAGAAAAAAAAAAGGAGTGGACAAAAATGAAATAGACGTATTTAAGGAATACGTTTTTTGTACAAATTGTACAGAAAACGTATTCCTTAAATACGTTTTTTCAGAATTTTTTCAAAAGAAAACGTATTCAATGAATACGTTTTACAATTAAAAAAATGGTAAAACGTATTCACTAAATACGGGTTTTTTATTATGGTCCACTCTCATTTATTTGTGTATTTTTTTTCCACAACTTAACTTTTTTATAATTTTCTGGTAAAAAATTCATATATTTATACATCATACGAAAATTAATTAAATATTTTAAAACAAAGTAAACAAAATAAAATAACAATATAATAGACCAATTTACTATAAATTAAATAATTAATAATAATAACTTCCAATAAATTAAATTAACATAAAATAACAAACAACATTAAAATTAAAATAAAATAAGATAAAATTTAATATAGTAGCCTCGATTAAAATTAAATAAACTAATATTTTAATTACTAAAATAAATTAATTATATAAATCTTAAATGAAAAAAATAATACATAAAACATATTAAAAGATAAATAAAATTAAAATAAACTAATTAACTAAATTACAAATAATAATTATATAAGATAATAAAGTATAAAAATGATAAAGTAAAATAAATAATAAATAAAATAACTTATTATAAAAAATAAATTAAATAAATAAAAACCATAAATTAATATAATAAAATAAAACTATTATTTATCAAATAGTTTAAAAGTGATTTACTCTTACATACAATATGAAAAAAAAATTGAAAATAAATTATAATTTTTTAGTAAATAGTTTTTTGTAAATAAATAGTTTTAATTTCTAATTTTATTTAGTAAAATTTATTTTAATTTTATTTCATTGTCTTAAGTTAAACAAAATAAATAATGTTTATTAACTAAGATAAAATAAAATGAATAATGCAACAAAATAATATGAAAAAATATAAATTAAAATAAATAATAAAATATAAAAATAATATAAAATAAATACAATAAATATTATTATAATATAACCGTAATTTTTAAATTTATTTATAATTTTATTTTAATTATTTTGTGTTTGTTTAATATAATAAGTTATTTTAATAATTTTTTCGTTTAATTTTATATAATTTAGTTATTATATTTAATTTATTATAAGTTTATATTTTAATATTTTAATTTAATTTACATTATCTTCTAAATTTAAGATCATTTATCCATATGTAATATGATATATATCTTTACTCTTAATATATAAAAAGATAGTAAGAGCTCCATTACTTGACACGTGGCGCAAGGATTTTATGGGCCAATTCGCTGGCGCAAAGAATTTAAGAGGCCAGGTGTTTGGCAATGAAAACGACGCCGTTTAGAAATCAATTTTGGACCGTTGATTTTAGGGCTGACATCTCTACCGTTCGTTTGACCTTTAAAGATCTCTGATGCCCTCTCTTTTTCTCCGTTTCTCATTCTTGACGGCACATCTCTGTCTGACCTTCGATTGTCTTCCTCACCAAGTAATTTCTTCCTTTGTCTTTCTGTTCGTGTTTTCTCTTGATTTTTCTCATTCATTTCGTGTAGCTTCAATTGTTAGCAATACTGAACTTTATTTGTATCCTCAGTTGATTAATACTCTCTTCCCTCATGCCATCCGTAAGTGTAGGCATATACCACCTCTTCAAAGCCCTAGGCCGTGGCGGACTTAACCGGCATCTCTTTCTCTGAATCTCCGATCGCCGGCGGCAGATCTGGGCTCCCTTTCATCGAAAGCATCGCGGGCTGATCAAATTTGAAGTATCTATAGGCGGCAGCGGCGCGACTCTTCGCCCAATTGAAGCATTTCTGGCACATGATGCTAGCGGCGGCGGAGGCGTGATTTTCGACCGTATTTGACGAACAACGCGATGTTGTCCGGTATGGCCTTCAATTCTGTCTCCTCTGATACTTTTTGCTTCTGTAGTTTTTCTGACGTGTGTGCATAGTTGCTGATGAGCAGCGTCGACAACAACTCTGAGCGGCCGAACGAGCCCCGATTGATTATTCACTAGAGGTGGTAGTCGGGCTAAGGTTTGACGAGCGATTGAACTCCGGAGGTACAGTAGGATGCTTATAGTCGTCCTTCCTCATTTTGTCTATCCACTTGAGGTTTTGCTCCTTCCATGGATCTTGGTCGTCAAGTCAATTGAAGGTTGAGTGAATTCGAAATTCATTGAAAGTTTGGTGTCCTCTGTACTTCTAGACTTCGCGATGGGTGGGTTTCACATGTTTTCAATTCTTTTGCTCAGAAATTAGGCGAACTTTTCATATCTATTTTTCTAGTGTTCTTATTTTTGGAATCTTTGTT